AAGGCATGTTAGCGTATGTGTTTGATTCAATTAGCTGAGAGTGGGTTTGCATACTTTAAAGAACATGTGGATTGTTGGTGTGTTTAATATTTAAATATTTAATATTTAGAATTCACTTTCTAAGGGGTGTTTGGTTGGATGGAAAACATTTTCCATGAAAAATGTTTTTCTAAAAGTGAAGGAAAATGATGTTTTATGTTGTTTGGTTGGATGGAAAACATTTTTCATTTGAAAAATGTTTTCCTTGAGAACGAGGAAAACAAATTCCTAGCTCATCCTAGGTATTTTTGTTTTTCATGAAAAACTAATATGACAATTTTATCCTCACTATTCTTTATTAATTACTCTTATTATTATTATATTATTATTGTTGTGTAGGGTTATAGTTGTTATTATACACATTAGTCCTTACCATTCCAAACTCAACCAAACAATGGAAATTTATATTCCCAGTAATTTCTTTTCCACCAACCAAACAATGGAATCTATTTTCTTAGAATTTATTTTCCATGGAATTTTAATTCTATTTCTCTTCAAATAATTTCCAGCAAACCAAACGAGCTGTAATTTTATTTTGTTCCGTAGATGATTTTGAATGAGAATTTTAATATGGTGTTAATTGTTTGAATTAAATTATGAAATTATATTTTGTAATTTTAAAATTATTCTATTTGTTACTTAAATTTATTTTTGATTTTAAATCATAATTATAAAGTTAAAATTATTAATTATAGGAAAGTAAATAAAATAATAAGTGATGCGTAGACTAGTGTAGGGCCCACAAAAGATGGGAAAATAGAAAGGTTAATTAGATAGAAAATAAGGAATGAGATTATATAATAATGTAGAAGAGTTGAGTATACAAAATAGGGGATTAGGCAAGAAGGGATGGATATGCCCTAAGTATCATATGACAAATACTGAATTAAAGTCCTCCAAATACATATCAACAAGTCAGCCAAGGTTTTGAAATTTAACCGTCCATTTTGGGTGTAGCGCCGGATTTCCTATATTCGGTGGGATAATTGACATAAAAATTTAAGGCTACGTACTCCATACTCAAAATCAAGAATCGAACCATTGACTTTTAATTTAGTTAAGGATAGATGAGTCCGTTCCACTTCACTTCCACTCAATCACACTACACTCCAGTTTAACAGTCCATTTTGGAATCATGATTCGGAAGTGAAGAAAAGAGTGCTTTTTATTTTCCTTTTATATGTATATCACTATACTTGGGTTATTATTAGTGGTAAATTAATGTCATTTCTTTCTTCCATGTGCCAAAATATGAGATATTACTCTAACGTTAATGGAATTTGTTTTTTAAATTCGAGAAGAAGGTCGTTGTCTCTCTTATTCTCCGATAAACATATTAGGAAAATTGTTGAACAATATTTCCTAGGCTGTTAGAAGTAGTCACTTTCTTATTATTTGGTTACATAATTGGAAGATCGCATGTTGTATGTGATGATTCTTGCTTGGAGTGTAGTAAGATTTAATCACATAACAATATGCCATTTATATTTACAATGGGGATATCTTGTGATGTTGATGCTATAATAATAAATTAATTAATAACAGGATATTATGACCAATTTTTCAATTTTTTATAATTTCAATATGTAGTATTTAATTTTTACTCCATTCGTCTCATTTTATAAAGATAAGTATGTTATTCAAATTGCTCTTGTAAAATGATGTGGGCATTGCATTTATTTTTATTCCATCCGTCACATTAATAAGTCATTACATTTATTTTCATCAATATTTATTCTAAAGCTGGTGTAAAATGGCTTTTCCCACCAATTAGGACCTCCTTTTTTAATTTCAATTTGAGGGTTCACTTTCAAAGTTTATTGGTTAAAGGAAAGAACAAAAAAAAAGTGAGATTGTCCATTGTGTATTCATCGCTAAGACAATTTAAGTTGGAAGAGGTATTAGTTCTTTGTTTTCAAAACTTAATGAAGAGATTATAGTTTTTTTTTTATTACTTTACATGTTTTGTAAATAGCTCTTTAAGTTAATTGCTTTTAAGTATATTGTATATATATTTTTGTCACGTCCATTGATAAGACAAAATAAAAATAAAAATAAAAACAAAATTAGACTATAATACCAATAATCAGTTAACACATTAAAACGTAAGTAAAATAAATGAGATGGTGTAGGTTTCATTCGAGACCTAAGAACGTAGCTAACTTAACACTCACGATAAAGTGCTTTGTCACCTTTAGGTAAAGCTCAATTGATCACCATTTAATAACTAACCATTCATTTTAGGAAAATGCTTCGTCCAACCCCGACAATTATTATTCCCTATTGGCCACTCACTCCCATATTAAAAAGGGAAAAAAATAGTTATTTCATAAATTACTAGTGAATTGGGCAACCCCACCTTGAGTACTTAATAAGCAATCTAGATATCCCTCGCCCAAAGAATGTCACATCCTGGTCCAACAAGATGGTAGAAAGGTAAATCATAGTGACTTAGCAATCTTAAAGTGCAATTGTAGCTTAATTCTTCATTTTATTAATCATTATATTGTAAATTGAGCTAACACATTCTAAATGTTAATTATTATCTAATAAGCCCTAGATTCCCATTTATGGTAAACCCGAAGGCGGAATCGATCTAGGCGATGTTGGGAATATTGTATAAAATATTAGGGGGCGTTTGGTTCAGGTTATATAAGATAACCAATGTTATATTTGCTTGGGAATATGTGATGCTTATGTTTGGTTCAAGTTATGCAATTTCCCCGGAAATATAACATAACCTTCACATAATGTTTTTAACTATTGCAAGGGAATGTGAGATACCCGCCTCTTCTTAGGTATTCTCACATTTCCTAGTCTTAATGCTAATTTTGTAATTTTAATACATTACTTTAGTTAATTATTGTTCAAACTCTTAATTAATTAATTTAAATCATCTACTTTTATATTTTACCATTGTCATATTTATTTATTTTAATTTTAAACTTATTAAAAACATAACAATATGTTAATAGTATTCAAGTAAAAATAATCATCATACAATAAAAAAAATAACTCTTCAACCAAACAGATTTATATTACCTATCTCATTTTAAACAAAACATAAGAATCTAATATTCCCTAAAGTAATTTAATATTCCGTGAACCAAACGCCCCCTTAGACTAATCATATTTAAAGTCCAACTAGTAGTCTCAAACAAAACATTGATCTCCCATTAATGTTTTAAAGTCCAAAAGTTAAAGAAAAAACACAAAAAAAAAAAAAAAAAAAAAGAAAAAAGAAGAAGAAGAAGAAAAACAAAACAAAACAAAAACAAAAACAAAAACAAAAACCAAAAAGACTAAAATAACCAAGATGTACGTTACTGAATCAGAATCAATACAACAGGAAAGAGTACAATCATAGAGTCCTATAGGAAGTAACTACCATAATGATCTCCTACATAATAGGTTGGGTAGCGATAATTAAGCTACTACCACACACCTGATAAACAGTCGTTATATCATAGACCGCGGTGCATGTGCACTGCGGTAAAAAACGGCGCCGTTTCTTTAACTAAAGAAACGGTCCGTCGTTATAGTTAACGGAGTCCGCTTGTTTGGTATATTAAGCACCAACTGACACTACAGTATATCTAAACCGACACTGCAGTTATATCAAAATGATATTGTAGTTATAGTGAAATGAAACTGCAGTGTATATAAAATGAAACTGAATAACATTTCACATATTTGAGTGTATATTGTAAAATGAAGCTGTAATTATATCAAAATGATCATGTAGTTGTGTTTTAATGAAACTATAGTGTATATAAAATAAAATTAAATAACATTTTCACATATTTGAGTCTATAAATATCCAATGGAACTATAGTTATATCGAAATAAAACTGTAGTTGTGTTGAACTGACACTGCAGTGTATACAAAATAACACTGAAAAACGGGGTTACTTTTTGCAAAAGGGTGCGAAACGGCGGAAAACAAACACTGTTTATTTTCATTAAAAAAAAAGACGCGCGGTGCATGATTGATCATGCACCGTGGTGCATGATATAATTTTCCCCTGATAAGTGTACATTATTCTTATCCCAAAAGCTTGAATCCCCAACCCTAAGGGCCCCACACTCCGACCCGACAGAGCATGTGGGAGGATGTAAATCACAGTGACTCAATGGGTTAGTAGATAGGGTCAAATGCCGGTGCGCACAAGGAAAGTGTACATTATTCTATTATTACTAACGAGGAAAGAAATTGTAATTCGTTAGAAAAAGAATAAGGTGCAAAATAAAGTAGGAATTCAAATTACATTTTTTGGTACGAGGTAACTCAAGTGGCAAATGAACTCTCTTTGTAGGGGAGAATTTTGGGATAACCCGGATTCAATCTCCATAAGTGATGATTCTCCTTGGACCAACTCCCGTACTTCCCGGGAGTGAATGAACTAAAAATTCCAGAATGAATGAACTAAAATTCCAGAATCTATGAACTAAAATTTCAGAATCGATGAACTACAATTGCAGAATCGATGAACTATAATTCTAGAATCAATGAACTAAAATTCCATAATCTATGAACTAAAATTCCAGAATGAATGAACAACATAATGCTGTTGCTGGGAATCGAACCTGATTTTTTTTTTTTTTAAGGGAGACGCGCGTTTTTAATTAAACGACGTCGTTTTTGCATCCGTATGCACCATGGATGGTGCATATGGATGCACAGCATAACTACTCCATAGTAAACAAAAGCACGCGGTAGAAATCATGTGTAAGTACAAATCATTAGACGTAGGCCATGCGCTTTCCCAGGTACCAAGCCACTTCCTCTTGGGTGTTCACTCCTTCGATCTGAATCAGTGAGGTGCTCGGATACTGATTCGACTTCCTCTACTCACACGCTCGCCTTGACGTCCCTTCACCATTTTCACCGTTGTGAAATGTTGGTATTTCGGTTACCGCCCGAGACTGACGGTCGGTATTTTGATCGGTTATAGTATTACTTTTGGTCAGTTTTAATCAGTTATGATGGTCAAAAATTATGGCCGATTTTCAATTTTTCGGTGTAACCAACCGACCATTTGCTTACCCCTAAGTCCCACACTAAGTACACCTCGGAGGTCCCATGCTGAGCTCGGAGCTCAGCACCTTGACGAGGTCCAAGGCCGAGCTCTTGGGTTTGGCCTCCATGGCTTCATGGATGGTTATATCGCGTGTAGTGGAGGCGTTATACCCGGTCAAGGAGGTTCAAACTACCCGCTCTTTTCTCGCGGGAGCAGTTGGAGCGCGACTTAGTATAAAAGCATCACTCTTTGTCTCATTGGGACATTATCATTCTCTCTCTTGTAATAGCATTACATAACTCTTAATACAACTTGTGTCTTCGTGACCTACTATACATTCTTGTCTTTACATTCATTACCATTTATCTTTATTCATGATCTTTTAATTATTGAGTTATTTGAATCGAACTACCCAGATCAATATAATCCATCAATAATAATAACAACAATTTTATATTGACGGATTCATGGCGTTTGTACTTTGTAATATCGGATGCAGTTAATAGTCTTAGTCATATAGATAGGGACTAGGGGACTGTGTTTCCTTTAATTTTAAATGTTCTAGCTTGTTGTTTTTAACATCATCATAACCACTTCATATTATATAATCATGTTAAGCTATTATATATTATAATAATAACTAATTTTAGAGTTTTTTTTTTTTTTTTTTTTTTGAATGCTACTAACTCTATTACAATGTAGTATATGTTCATAAATTACTTTCTCAACCTAATGGAGCATAAAGAATCTGATCTATTACAATGTAGTATTTGATTTGAACCCACAACCTCCCATATGGGAGTCCAACCTTGGTGCCCTCCAATACAGTTAAGCTGGTTGTCCATAGATTCTATTAGAGATCAGATAAGCTCTTCCAACCTTAGATAGTTCACCCCACCCCTAATATACTACTTTTAAGATTTCAACTCAAAACTTTATTTAACGAAAATAAATTCATGTTAAAGTTATGATTCATTACACATGTATTATTCTTTTTATTCCTGGAAGAAAAAAAAAAGAATATATAATATTTTACTAGCTACTATTCATGGAATTTATTGCGCAATAAATAGCCCCCATGCACTATATATGTCAGAATGACTTGGTAGCGCAGCTAACTTGCTCTGTCAAATTCCCTTCAAAAGCAAACGTCTATATTTTCTTCATTCATCGATCTTGTGTACGTGAATTGTCCGGCCATAAATATAGTCATCATGGCGACTCACGCGGCGGCGACCGCCGCCACCACGGTGGAGGGGCGGACGCGAGCGATGTGGCGGATGCGGTTGCAGTCGGCGGCCCGGACGGCTTTGACGTGCACCATAGTGGGCTGCGCCACCCTCTACATATCAGCCTCATTGAGAACCCACGTGTTTCCGTTCCCGGCGTTTTCTTACCTCACGGCCATCCTCATAGTGTCCGACGCCACGCTGGGCGACGCCCTGAGGGGCTGCTGCCACGCATTGTACGCCACGCTGCAGGTCATGCCTCTTTCCATGCTGGGCCTTTGGGTTGCCGGCGGCGCCACCCTCTCGCCGGGGATTGCCGCCGCCATGGTGGTGCTGGCCTCCTATGTGGTGGCGCTGCCGGAGAGCACCCACATAATGTCCAAACGGATCGCCTTCGGGCAGCTGGTGATTGTGTTTGTGGATGCCGTTGTTCATGGCGTCCACACCAGTGTTATCGTGCACCCTCTCCGAGTCGCCCCCAGCACCGCCCTCGGTGCCCTGGCTTCTCTCCTCGCTTTGATCTTTCCGCTTCCTCGACTCGCATATTTTGAGGTATACATACTATACTATACTATACACCACTCTATCTCCATTATAGTAAGTGTTTGGTTAATTAACTTTTTGTAATTTCAAAATATTAGAATTCAAAAAACTGTTCAAATTAACTTTTTTAATTAGCTTTTTGAGAAAAAAAATTATATCAAACACCTATCAGTTAACAACTAATTTAACAAACGTCTTTTTACAATCAGCTAATATTATAAACTAATTATACATTCTAATTAATCCAATTAACTAACAGCTAACAGCCATTTACCAAACATGGCCTATATATTTCTTTCATGCACCCCTCAAAATCTAAATTCACTAATAAACCATTGATCTCTCTCATAAAGGAAAAATGCTACATCTACTCCCAAATTACTCTTGTGTCACTTCTATTTAAGAGATTATACTCCAACATCTATTTTTAATCAAATCTGATCAATTTTAAAAGTAACACATTTTTAATATTGTGAGACTACCTAAGTGCCCACATTTTCAATAACCCATGATCAAATATGATCAATTTTAAATTTGATTACCAAATGTTAGAAAAAAAAAACTAGTGAAAAGACCAAAATTAGAATTAACCCAAAATTTATTTTAAAAAAAAACATTACCTATATATATATATATATATATATATATATATATATATATATATATATATATATATATTCATATTTGTGATTTCAAACAGGGCGTTTGGTTGAAATGAGGGAAATAAAGGAGAAAAAAAATTGTAATTTCATAAGATAAAAACAAGATGAGAATAAAATAGGAATTTAAATTTCATTGTTTTGTAGACAAGAATATAATTACTAAGAATTGAAATAGAAGAATTGATATAAAAACTAAAATAACTTTGAATTATAATAATAATAATAATAATAATGACAAATTTGTCAATACATACCTTTTTCCTTTTCCATGAGTTGTGGAATTGCAAGGGAGTTCCAATTTTGGAGGAGGGCATGAGAATTTCAATTCCATAATATAAGAAAAGTGAAATTGTCTCCAACCAAATAATGAAAAAACAAAAAAAAATGCTCCATAAAAGCACATGCCCTTTTCAGTACAATTAGCACAATCAAGCAGGTCAGTGAATAGCTAACTAGCTGCCGCCTGATTCTAAAATCAGAATCTATTTGATAGTGTGTCTCCATCCATATCTCTCTGCTCAAATATATATATAATTCTATAAGAATAAATTCAACGGCAAAAAAACAAAATCAGCATATACAACCCAAATTGGCTGGGTTGGGATGACAATATGACATGCACCAACGACTCTCGAATATATTACGTACTATCATTATTATCATATCATATTCAGGGACGGGGCCAAAAATTCAGTTGAGGGGAGACAAAGTAGTAAGACGAATTCAGAAAATTTTTCCACCAAAAGCGAAACATTAAAACAAAAGAGATAATTAACTTGAACCTTTACTATTACCAAACATGTGCTCTACCAACCAATCTAGCCCATTTCTTATTAATATTTAATAATTTTTTATGCTAATACTAAAACATGTACTATATATACATATATACATACAAATATTATATATGGGGTGGGAGTGGGGTGAGGGGGCAGCTACCCCTGCCCCTGTCCCTGTCCCTCTTTGGCTCCGTCTCCGATCATACTGCTACTGAACCATTGAACTAAGTCCGTGAGGGAATTTCCTTTTGTACATCCACATACAGGTGAAAAAGCTATACAAATTGTACACAAAAAATGCTTCAGAAAGGATTGCTCTATACTCGCAAGCAGTTGCAGCTGGAGACACTTCAATGGTGGCAGCCCTAACCTCCCAAGCCAAACCCCTAGCTGAAACCGGGGCAAAACTCCTAGAAAGCATAGGACTTTTGCAGGAGGGATTGAAGTGGGAGAAGCCATGGCTGAAGCTCTTAAACCCCTCACTTACAGACCCTGCAGTATATGGATTGGAAGAGATAGAAACATCTCTGAGAGGAATGGAAATCGCCTTGTCAACTTACCCTTCATTTCACTCTAAAACCATTGATGAAGAGCTCCTCAATATCCTGCAAAGTGCACTGGAGAAACTTGGTTTGAAAATAGAGCAAGCCAGAGGCTCTTTCCCTTGCCACAAAAGGACAGCCCCAGGAGGGGGGGCAATAGACATGTCCTTGCCCTATGCTTCTTATTTCCTCACACACGAAGATCTCCCCGCTTCGTTCTTCTTCTCGTGCCTAAAAATGTTCATAAACGGATCAGCTACGACACCGGATAGTAACGAAGGACTTAAAGATTCAGAAAACCAACAAGGCTGTAGCAATAAGTGGAGTATGGCAGCTGCAGTGAGGAATGAAAGGATGATTTTTGCATGTAAGTGTTCGTTTTCGCTGGGGCTAGCAGTGCTATTTGGTTTGCTATTCGATCGAGCTAAAGGATACTGGTCAGGTCTCACAATTGCCATAAGTTTCGAGACAGGAAAACAGGCGATTTTCACACTGGCAAACGCCCGAGCACAAGGAACAGCATTGGGGTCAATCTATGGTGTCCTGGGCAGCACTCTTTTCCAAAGGATTAGTAATTTCAAGATTATATCTCTCCTCCCATGGATCATCTTCACCAGCTTTCTCAGGCACAGTAGAATGTACGGGCAAGCCGGGGGAATCTCAGCAGCTATAGGAGCATTACTTATCCTGGGCAGAAAAGATTACGGTCCACCAAAGGAATTCGCCATCGAGAGACTCACCGAGGCCTTCATTGGGCTCTCGTGTTTCATTTCCATGGAGCTCCTCTTCCAACCAACTCGAGCCGCCTTCTTAGCCAAATATCACCTCCACACAAGCCTCGAGGCACTCAAGAAATGCACAGAACATATCGTGCTCGATTCGGGGAAAGTCTGGCTCTTAAGGGAAAAGCAATGGCACCTTAAATCTCAAGTCCTCCTACTAGGAAAGTTCATCTCACAAGCAGAATTGGAACCAGACTTTTGGTCTTTACCATTTCCTGTTTCATGCTACCAAAACCTCCACAAATCACTCGCAAAGATCACCGATCTATTATACTTCATGGCCTGCAACATACAACTCCTTTCACAAGCACTTCAAAGCAGCAATAATGTTGCTTGGAAGGAGATTCAAGAACACATAAACAAAGACTTGGAACTCTACATGGAAACCATTACCTCCCTAACCTCTTCCTTAACCCATTCTGCAGATTCTCAAGAGAAAAAACATCCCGACCTCGAGGAAGGAACCCCAAACCCGACCACATACAACACGGCGGAGAAGACATTAAATTCTTTCCTTGAGCACTGTAAGGAGGTTACTGAGAAGCTGTGCGAGCTTGGAGTTAAGGATGAGCAGAGAGCAATGGAGGCTCTGCATATGTTTGCTGTGGGATTCTGCAGCAGGTGCTTGATGGAAGAACTAGCACAAGTTGATAAAGGAATTAAAGAATTGGTGCAGTACAGAGATCCTTAGGGAGAAATGAAAATGGTAACGAATTTTGTAGCAATTCCTCTAACGCCGATGCTATAGTATGATGAACATAGTACTTGATTACTGAATCAGTACTACGGAGTTCTTTAGCTATCTGGTTGTTATATATATATATTTCTTAAAATTAATTGGTGATAAAGTAGGTGTACATTAATCATCTTAAAACTGAATCAGGTCTCGATCATCAATCATCAATCATGTGTAACAATAACACCCAAAATAAAAATGATAGAGTAATCAAACAAAAAAGATAAATGAAGAACTCAAGAAAGAAATCAATGGGATCCATGAATTTGGAGCAAGTACCTACATTGCCACCATAGAGTCATAGAAGATGCAATCCGAATGCTATGGACCGGTGTCCACTATCCATGCTGGACACGGGTAACTGTGCCGTTAGGCACTGTTATCTTTTCTTTTCTTTTTTTTTTTTTTTTTTTTTTTTTTTTTTTTTTTTAATTCAGAGCTCTATGTTCATAATTACATAACTGTACATTCATACTTCCATAACTGTACATTCATAATTCCGTAACTGTACATGCATAATTCAATAACTGTAACTTCATAATTTTCGAAGCTCTATGTTCACAATTTTAGAGCTCTATGTTCATAATTTTATCACTATATGTTCATATTGTAAGTTCATAATGTCAGAGCTCTGTGTTCATAATTTCATAACTGTAAATTCATAATTCGATAACTGTACATTCATAATTGCAGAACTGTACATTAATAATTATGTAACTGTACATTCATAATTCAATAATTGTAAAATCATAATTTTCAAAGCTCGATGTTCACAATTTTAGAGCTCTATGTTCATAATTTTATCACTATATGTTCATAATTGTAAGTTCATAATATCAGAGCTCTGTGTTCATAATTTTATAACTTACATTCATAATTCCATAACTGTACATTCATAATTCCATAATTGTACATTCATAATCCCATAACTGTACATTCATAATGGCACAAATGAATAACACTGTTAACGGCGAGACAAAATCAAAATTTTTTTTTATAACTGAAATGACGCGTTTTCGCTGAAAACAACATCGTTTTGGACTCACTGCATAATCTACGGCCCAAAAAAAAAAAAAAAAAAAAACTTCCAGCAGTGACAAAAATTTAAAAAAAAAAAAAAAAAAAAAAAAATCCAGCAGTCACAAAAATATTCTAGCAATAATTGAACATTTCAACCAAAAATTTCCTTTCCAGAAAATAGATTTATTAGGGAATATAAACATGGTGGATTCAGAAGGATAGGCAGAGAACAAGATTTGTCAGAAAAATTAGTCCAACCTAAAAGAAATGGACAGTTAGATACAGGGTCATGCTGAGTTGCAAGAACAATAGCCAAGAAGCCCATAATATATCCCGTCAAACTACTGCCAGCAAGAGATAACCCAAATGTCCAACCCACGTCAAAAGGGGCTTTACCAGCCGGAGAAGCCTGCCTCACCCTTTATCAATAGTTATGCTGTGCAACCGAATGTACCATGCGCATGGTGCATACGATGCAAAACGACATTGTTTTGACTAAAAACGCGCGTCTCACTTTAAAAAAAAAAAATTTAGGTTCGATTCTCGGCAAAACATTATTGTGGATATATAGTTATGAATTTATGAATATTTAGTTCATTCATTGTGGATATTTAGTTCATTCATTGTAGATATTTACTTCATTCATTCATTGTGGATATATAGTTACGAATTTATGGATATATAGTTATGAATTTCTGGATATATAGTTATGAATTTATGGATATTTAGTTCAATCATTGTGGATATTTAGTTCATTCATTGTGGATATTTAGTTCATTCATTCATTCATTGTGGATTTTTACTTCATTCATTCATTCATTGTGGATTTTTACTTCATTCATTCATTCATTGTGGATTTTTACTTCATTCATTCACTGTGGATATATAGTTTTGAATTTGTGGATATATAGTTATGAATTTCTGGATATATAGTTATGAATTTCTGGATATATAAAAATGCTATTGCCGGAAATCGAACCTGATTTCTTTTTTAAGTGGGACGCGCGTTTTTTTAACCAAAACGGCGCCGTTTTGCAACCGTATGCACCTTGCAAGGTGCATTCGGTTGCACAGCATAATTTGTGACCCTTTATATAGGTAGGTGGTGGGTTTCAATTAAGAAGAGCAGGCCTTTGAGGAATTGAGGGCCACGGGCAGCAATCATCGCAAATTATGCAGTGGACTCGAGTCCAAAACGACGTCGTTTTCAGGAAAAACGCGTCATTTCAGTTTTAAAAAAAATTGATTTTGTCTCGTCGTTAATGCCGTTAACGGCGTTATTCGTTTGTGCCATTATGAATGTACATTTATGGGATTATGAATGTACAGTTATGACGTTATGAATGTACAATTATAGAATTATGAATGTAAGTTATAAAATTATGAACACAGAGCTCTGACATTATAAACTAACAATTATGAATATATGGTGATAAAATTATGAACATAGAGCTCTAAGATTGTGAACTTCGAGCTTTGAAAATTATGATTTTACAGTTATTGCATTATGAATGTACAGTTACGGAATTATGGATGTACACTTGTGCAATTATGAATGTACAGTTATGCAATTATGAATGTACAGTTATGCAATTATGAACACAGAGCTCTGACATTATGAACTTACAATATGAACATATAGTGATAAAATTATGAACATAAAGCTCTAAAATTGTGAACATAGAGCTTCGAAAATTATGAAGTTACAGTTATTGAATTATGAATGTACAGTTACGGAATTATGAATGTACAGTTATGGAAGTATGAATGTACAGTTATAGAATTATGAACATAAAGCTCTGACATTATGAACTTACAATTATGAACATATAGTAATAAAATTATGAACATATACTCCTATAACGAAGCGGTCTGAAATTTTTTTTTTTAAAAAAAAAAAAAAAAAAAAAAAAAGATAACAGTGCCTAACGGCATGCTGGACACGGGTCCATAGCATAACGATTGAGCAATTATATTGTGGACCGTGGTCCATAGAAACGGCGCCGTTTCTTCACTTAAAGAAACGGCAATCGTTACAGTTTAACGAAGCACGTATTTTTTGTGTATTAATTACCAAATGAAACTACATTATATCGAAATTGACACTGCCTCACGTATTATTTTTATATTATCAAATGAAACTGTAGTTGTGTTGAAATGAAACTATAGTGTATACAAAATGAAACTGAATAACATTTCACATATTTGAGTGTATATTGTGCAATGAAATTGTAGTTATATCGAAAATGTAGTTGTGTTGTAATGAAACTATAGTGTATATATAATATGAAACTAAATAACAGTTTCACATATTTGGGTGTATAATATCGAAATGAAATTGCAATGTACACAAAATGAAACTAAATATATTATACAATCAAAGTTACTTTTTGCGGACGACGCAAAACAGGTGTCGTTTCTTTTCAATTAAAAGAAACGACACCGTTTTGATGCTTGGACCACAATGCATTGTGGACCGCGGTCCACAGTATAATTTTCTTGCCACGGGCTACCCACCCTTTATAATATATACTAGTTTTTTTTACGCGCATTGCGCGATTGAGATAATGTCCAATGCTTTTTTTATTGTTTTTAAATAAGTACTTTAAAGCATATCAAGACAAGATTATATTGGAATTATTCATGCATAGATAATTGAATGTTGAATTTGCGTATTTAAATAGGTAATTTTACAAAGTTTACAAATGCAAGATAATATAGTCAAGATTGATTATAATTATCAATAAGATAATTGTATAGGTATGGTTGAAACCAAATACGCGGCATAAGGGAGAGCAAATAAAATTAAGGCATAAAATATTAAATATATTCTAATATTGAAGAGCTAATTGCTGATTGTCAAACAAGGACATTGCGAGATAGTTTTTCATTTCAATTTGTTGTGTGATTTTAATATTCTTTTTGTCAATAAATCCTCCAAGTAGTTAATATGATTGGCTTAATTTTATTTATATATATATATATATATATATATATATATATATATATATATATTAAAAACAGTTATTATTATTATTATTATTATTATTATTATTATTATTATTATTATTATTATTATTATTATACCCTTAGGTCATTTTACATGTTAATCTAAACAGCTAATTTTTTCAAATATCTTTTTACCAACCGTTGATATAATTCGCTGGTCAAGTTCGCTAATATAATCCGCTAACGCTAACCGCTAACTCCTGATTGTCAAACAAGGACATTGCGATGTAGTTATCACTTCAATTTGTTGTGTGATTTGAATACTCTCTTTGTCAACAAATCCCTCAAATAGTTAATATGATTGACTTTATTAATTATATATATTTTTTTAATTTTTTCATGGTATTAATAAAATACTTGGTAAATAAATATATAGCATTATTTTGTATTATAACTTTGATATTTAATTAAAAAATAGTGCATAAAAAAATAATAGACAATGTAGTGAATATAATCAATTGATGAGTTTGAATGTAAATAATTTTTACATTGGGAGAAAAATAAAGACAATATAACTAATAAAATTATTTCTCTTAATTAATTTATTGATAATGAATAATTTTTTTTATAATAAACACATTGTTGAGACAATGTAGCGAATATAATCAATTGATGAATTTGAATGTAAAGAATTTTTATATTGGAGAAAAATAAAGATAATATAACTAATGAAATTATTTCTCTTATTTAATTTATTGATGATGAATATTTTTTTTGAATAAAAACATTGTAGACACATAATTCTAAATTAAAGAAATGCATATGTATTATTTTTTGTTGTAGCTACTAAATTATTATTTTAATTTAATATGAGTAAAATAGAGTACTAATTATGCCAACTTTGATTGGGATGCGGTTCGAACTGAAGACCTTTCTTATTGAAATCAATGAGTAAGTTAACGGTGAACTAACATAAATTAACAGAAAAGATAATATTTAACGAAAAAGTTAACCGATAATCATATTCATTAATGATAAATTAGGAAATCTTAAGAAAAAATTAAAAACTGATCAAT